CCCCTCCCCATCCCCACCCCCTCTACTCCTCTTTTTTCGCCCTATTTCACTTTCTTTCGTCCTCTCAATCAGCCCTCCCGGTCGCCTCGCGGGCCTTCGCCCGTTCTTCTTCCAGTTGCGATTCCAGCTTGACTCGCAGTCCCGCCAATTCCCTTCGCAGGGCCTGTATCTTCTCCGAGTTGACGTTGCCTCGGATCCTTTCCGACCTTTCTCTCAGGACTTCGAGGCACCCCAGCGTGTTGCCAGCCGCCAGCCTAAGGGCCTTCTGGTATGTGCCCTTAAGATTGGAGGACGTTTTCGCGATTTTTATCACCTCCATTTGGCAGGTCATAACTCGCTCGGGCAGTTCTGCGTCTGGTTTATCTTCAACTTCCTCCTTCCATTTCTCAACATCTATTTTGGATTTTTTAAGTAGATCCTCCGTACCGAGTCCTCTAATAAGCTCCTCTCGAGCTAATCGAAGAGTTCGCTTTTTCTCCTCGTTAAGCTATCGGATGGCCTCCTTGCGTCCGACATAATCCCCGGTCGTCATTGGTCTACCCGGTTACCGTATGCCACTTTCGGAATTTCTTGTGGCCCTCGTAACCCTCGCTACTTCCTCGTTGGAGGAAGATATTACATGGAATGTTTTAGGGTCTTTATCTCCTTTTTTAGTCATTCTGCGTGTCGTAGGCGCGTCACTCGCTCGCTCTGGCTCTACTCGAGCCCGGATTCTACCCTAGTTTCCGGGGGACTCTCTAGACGTGATCGAACCCCCGTCTTCCTCGCTCACCGTTAGGTCCTCGTGCACCTTGGATCCATGTCCAGCAGTGCTATTTCCTCTCAGTTTTTCTCCTCCCTGTTGTCAGAAGAGGAGGAGATCGTCCTCTTCCGTGACGACCCTGCGGATGATGAGATCGATGCGGAGGCCCGTTTGGAACACCTCGGACCCGGTATATCTCGCCGTTCCTCCAATACGCCCGACGTGTTGGGCCCAGTTGATAAGGGATTTGTGTTTCTTCCTCTGCTCCTCAGGCGCAGAGAGCTTTCCTCCCGCATCTCAACGCCATCCAGCGCCTCGCCAACTCGCGAGTTTCCTCTCGTGTGTACGTATAATCGCGTGAATTCTTCCGCTGGAATCATGCCCAGCCCCAGCGCCGAGTCACACTCGAAGCTGTTGCTCTTAAGGGTGGACTCAAAGTAGTCCTCCTCGTTCGAACTAACCTCGGAGAAATCCCCCTTACGGAAAAATCCTTTTTCGGTGTTCTCCTCCTTCTCTCGGTTCTTCAGTAGTTTATCTTGGTATTTGCTGTAAGTCATTTCTATTTACCCCCAAGCCCGCAGCGGCTCCGCCAGACAGGGTGTACCCTCACCTGTCCGAAAAACATGACCCGGACGGGGCCCTGAGTTCCCCCGGGGAGCTGGCATATGGCTCGAGTCCCCGGAATGTTACATCGGAGATATTGGCCTCCAGCCCCTTACTCGCCATGGACGGGCACCGCCCGCTTACCCACGGGTTTCAGGGGTCTCCCGCCTCCGACCTCGGGAGTACCGCTGCGGGTAGCGCCACCCATGGGGGGACTCCACGGACGTGTCGAGCAACGGAGGTGGCGCCCCCTCCGCACCCTAGTCGCCGCGGCGACCAGCACGTCAGCGACGGGACTCCTCCCGCCGCCGACAAACCCCGCCCAGCACCATCGCTTCGGAAGGGACGCCGTCGCGATGACACCGGGCCACTACGTCCCGCCCTCGGTCCCGACTCGGGATACGTCCGAGCGGCCCGGGGGCTGGGACGGCACGCCCCGCCTCGGAATACGTCCGAGCGGCCGAGCCGTCCCCCTCCGAAAGAGGCGAGAACCCTGCCCCGGAATATTTCCGGGCGGCCCCTCGCTCTCTCCTACGGACTAAGTCCGCACCTTACCTCACCAGGTGAGAGTCCCCAGTGCAATGAGCCGTAGCTCTTGGAGACTCTCCTCCGTGGCGTAAACCAGCCCACAGCCAAGAGCATTCAGCATACGGGCCGACCCGCCGTGCGGGAGCACCCGCTCGATACTTCTGGGTCCGAGATCCCGAGGGAACCACCCCACCTCTCGAAGAGGGAGGGGAGGGCCCCACGGGAGCCAGTAGGGATCGAAACCCCACATCACGCACGGGCAGGGAGCAATCCTCCCCCTATCGGTGCCGTGCCACCGGGCGTTTGTAGTCAAGGTCGCCATCCCCTACCGGCACATTAGGAAACCGTTCCGTACGGAACGAAGAGTGGGCCCCCTTGGGGTGCCGGATCCGTTGTACAGACCCCTCCTATTTAGCGGAGGAGTCCGTACAGCTGCACTGGGTGGCACCCAGTTGGACATGGCTCAATTGG